GTTTTCACTACTAAAAATTATTATTATTATTATTATTATTATTATTATACAGGATTTATATAGCGCCAACAGTTTGCGCAGCACTTTACAATACAATATTTACAATATAATGGAGACAGTACAATTACAATACATTTCAGTACAGAAGGAATGTGAGGGCCCTGCTCATGGAGCTTACAATCTAAAAGAATGCATGACTTGATAAAATAACTCATGCAGTATTTTAGTAGCATTTTTTTAGTGAATTCAAATGTTTTTTACTCGGATGCAGTAAGATACTAAAACGTGCAAATGTGCCCAATTTGAGCTACAAAAGTAAGTCACATGTCCAGGATGTTCCTGGATCACCTTAGTCTGATTATTTAGTGACACTTAATCACTGTGGATATCTTTTTTTTTTTACTCTTCAGTGAGCATAACCTGAATGATACTTTATATATCATACAGAATAATGTCACGTGGTGGATGCAGGAGTTCCTCATTTGTTTTGGATTTATCAGACACTAAGGCAGGCCAAAGATGACATGGTTTACTTTCCGGCAAGCACAGGTTGCAGAAAAGAATTTCACCTGTTCCCCCATCAACAGAGTCAGTGTTGACAAGGGAATCCTACCCACGCTAGAGCTATTGTGTTCTGCCAGCAGGAAACCTTCCCTGTTGGCAAATTACAACGATTACTGCTAGTGGATTTAGCCGCCAGTAGTAGTTATGTGTAAAAAGATCAGACAAGATGCACTTCATCTATGGCCGGCTTTACAATTGTGGCAGTCTCTGAAAAGCTATCCACGGTGGACAGGAGTGGCTGACAGCCAAATGGGAATACCATGTGGCAATCGTGTGCATAATGTTTAGCTCGGCAAAGCATCATACCCATTCCATGTTTACAACTTCATCCTGCCATTGTATAACTTTAAGGTAGGTGTTCAAACCGGGGCTCATCCACCTATTTTTACCATCCCTGACCAAAAGTGCAAATATATTGGTGAAATGTAGGCATCCCATACATTACTAATTTTTTTTCATTCAACTGGTGGGTTGAATGAAAAAAAATGACCTAGTTCCCCCATCCACAAATTCGATGTAGAAATCACTTGCGCTGTGTTATTGTATTCCAACACCAGGGAGACTTCCCCGCCATCACAATACACTGGTCGGTGTTGCCAGCTATAGTCTGCAGCACTGATCGATCATGAAAAACCCAAAAGGGTGGTTGTACAGAAGGTGATTGGTAGACTGACCAACAACCAGCTTGCCCATACATGAATTGTAATCTGGCCAGGCTCTGCTTAACCGGTCAAATTTTGATCCATGTATGGCTGGATTTAGGGGTATCTGTCCTGAAGACTATAGCAGCCACGGTCTTTCAAATGGGTGATCAGACCCGTCCTCCAATCTGAGCCGCTGTCTGCTGTGTGTAAACCCATCTTGGAGCTGCACGAAGGTAGCCTATAGAAGTATTATTATTATACAGGATTTATATTGCGCAAACTATTGCCCAGCGCTTTACAAACTGAAGATGCCTCAGCTGCACAGACACAGTTGCACGGATCTGAAAGCACAGCATCTGTGTTCAGATTTGTGCACCCGCTCCTGCCCACGTGTCAAATTCTGACATAAATTGTGTCTGCGCAGCCGCTGCATCCACTTCTATGGACTTTCTGTATGCGGCCCTGAAGTGGGTTCACATGAAGCAGACAGCGGGTCAGATTGGAGGACAGGTCGGATTGCCCATCTGAATGAGCCCTAAACATGGACTCTTTTACTCTAAGCTCTGCATTTGTCTCAAAAATGTTAGTCTTTGTTCACACCAGTGTGTTGTAGAGACGTGAGCAAAAATGGGAGATTTCCAGCAATGCACAAAATGTGCTGCCGTGTTGCAGATGCACAGTGGTGCCATCAACTCTCAAAGGCACCCTTATGTACCTTGTAGTGCAATTTGTAACCAATTAGCGACCGGCCACCCTCAATATGGACAGTAAAGTGACATACCCATACTTCCTACTGCCTACTTCTGAGTTTCAGGCGCACGCATGCGACCCCCCCAGCCGGCACCCGCTGTGATTGTACAGAGCGGGAACCTGTCAGCAAGTCCTGAACAATGATTCACAATAGGGACCTGTTGACCGGCTGTGTCCAGGCACATCCCAGAGCTCTGTGTTGACAATCAACACAGACCTCTGTACATAGAGAACAACCTCCGTGCTTCTCGTCTCAGCAAAATATGTTTTTGTTTCCAAAATGTTTGGGTTTTTTTCTGTTTATAATGCAAAAAAATTGCAAATACCACTAATTGCCAGTTAAAGTAGCACAGTGCGGTATAACAAAAAATGGCCTGGTCAGGAAGGGGGTAAACTCAAGTGGTTGAAATGGTTAAACGCAATGGTCACACCTGCCATCAGAAGAGGAGACGGAGGAAAGTCTTCCGGAGGGGACACCTGTTCTGGTGACAACTATCTGCAATGGCGACTCTCCCTCCTTTTTTTTTCTAACAGTAAGGTCTCCCTTTACTTTGTGGAGGTTTCCTCTCCCTTCCTGTTGTGACCCCTAGACAGGAAGTGAAGGGAATTCTTCCCTGCAGGGACACCAAACAGCAAAAAACAAAGAGACAGGTATTTTAACCCTTCCCTGCTCTATCCAAAACAACAAAAATAAAGTTTTAGCTTTACTCCAACTTACTAGGAATGTAATCTCTTTATATGAATACAATTCAGAAACCTGGAGAAGAGGGACACAGAGGACTACTCCTCTACATTCACACACGATATCCTGGCTACACCACACAACTACAACACAAAGCACCGGCTTTCTCCGTCCCTCATGGAGGGCATCGTACAGGCACAGCGCCGGGCAGACCTGCCTGCTGCTTGTGTTATTGTCACACCATCCAGCACACAAGGGGTTACACGGCCTGCTGACCACCCTGAAGAAATAACAGCTTACCGGAGAACCCTGGACTATCAGCAACAAGCCCCCCAACCCCCACCCCCCTAATGTGCATGTGTTCTAGACGTCCAAGCGGCCCCGCAGCCACTTACCTCGGTCCAGTGACTCCGTGCTATGTGTCGGTGCCCTCCGCTCCCCTCTCTGTCCCTCCTTCCCACTTCGCCCCCAACACCACGCCCCCCCTAGTCAAGCCACTCCCTTACCCCATTTGAAACTCCAACTACCGCCCCAGCCAGAGCGATCCTGAGCTGAAGAATGGGGAGGGCGCGACATTTGGACAAACCAATCGTAGAACAGATGAAGCGGGTGGTGACTTGTGATTGGCCGTCACAAGTTCAATGAGCGTCTCTGCTGGGCTGGAAAGCGCAGTTCTTGCTGTGAAGAGGCTGTCAGCTCCTGTGGTAGTAGATACGACGAGGAGCTGTGAGGGAACTCTGTGAGGGAGCGCTGTGAGGGAACTCTGTGAGGGAGGGCTGTGAGGGAACTCTGTGAGGGAGCGCTGTGAGGGAACTCTGTGAGGGAGCGCTGTGAGGGAACTCTGTGAGGGAGCGCTGTGAGGAACTCTGTGAGGAGGGCTGTGAGGGAACTCTGTGAGGGAGGGCTGTGAGGGAACTCTGTGAGGGAGCGCTGTGAGGGAACTCTGTGAGGGAGCGCTGTGAGGGAACTCTGTGAGGGAGCGCTGTGAGGGAACTCTGTGAGGGAGGGCAGTGTGAGGAAAGCCACCAATAAGTGCCGGGACTAGAAATGATTGATGCGTATTCTGAGAGAGGATAATGCGGGCCATAGATGAGATGAAAAAAACGACCGAAAATTGGCTGATTTTCGGATCGTTAGTGCGGTGATATCGGTTGGCCGTTTTTCGTGATTTTTGACCTTTTAGATTATCGGTCCTGCTGGAAAATAATCAGCCAAATTTGTCATTCTGCTGATTTTCGCGGCAATGATGGACAAATTTGCCGTTCTTTTTCCGATATTTAAAAATGCGCATGAGCAGTGACATGAAAGAAGAAGGAAAAGAAGAAAAGGAAAAAAATAGAATATGAATGAAAAGAAGAAATAGAATATGAAGAAGAAAAAGAAGAAATAGAATATGAAGAAGAAGAAGGAAAAAAAAAAGAATTTCAGCCCGATATTATATTTGACATTTAAAAGTATAGCAACATTGTATCTATTTGTATCCGAATAGAAACATCTGTATCTGAAATGGATACAAATAGATACAATGTTGCAACTTTTTCTTCTGTATATTCTATTTCTTCTTTTTATTCGTATTCTATTTCTTTTTCTGCTTCATCTTCTATTTCTTCTTCTGCATATATTCTATATAATTGCCGGCCGTAGACGGGACGAAAATCAGCCGACCTTTTTTTCCAATAGTGGTAATGTCGGCTGATTGAACGACTGATTTTTCGTTTAAAAAAAAAAAAAAAAAACGTCCGGTTTTCTCCCCGTCTATGGCCTGCATAACAGTGTCACCGAGGGAGAGATATTATTATATGTAACCAAAGGACAAACTCTATTAGTTTTCTATAGGTGGAGAGGGGGTTAGAGCCCCTGGCAGGTATATATTGCTGTCTATCTCACCACCTATTGCCATGACGCTATAAAATTCGGTGGTCAGCCTTGTTAACCACTTACCCTCCAGAGGATTTATCCCCCTTCCTGATTTTTTGCGTTATGGCGCTGCGTTACTTTATCTGATAACTGCACAGTCATGCAACGCTGCACCCAAATGAAATTTACGTCTTTTTTTCCCCCCACAAATAGAGCTTTCTTTTGGAGGTATTGATCGCCTCTACATTTTTTATTTTTTGCGCTATAATAAAAAAGCGACAGTTTTGAGAAAAAAAACATTTTTGACTTTTTGCTATGAAACATGTCCAGTAAAAAAATTGTAAAAATCAAATTTCACCAAAGTGTATTCTGTGACGTCTTTGCTAAAAAAAAATCCCAATACGTGTAAATTAATTGGTTTACGTGAAAGTTATAGCGTTTACAAATGGCGGTATAGATATTGGAATTTTATTTTTACTAGTAATGGCGGCGATCAGCAACTTATAGCAGGACTGTGGGGGGCATTCTGACACTGGAGGGAACTGACTTGGTGTCACTGACATCCCCGGTGACACCAATACAGTGATCTGTGCTAATAAAAAGCACTGACACTGTACTAATGGTACTGGGTAGGAAGGGGTTAACATCTGGGGCAATCAAATGGTTAACTGTGTGCTGGGTGTGTTTTACTATGGGGCTGTGAAACACGTGCAGTAAAAAAATTTCGGCATAAATTTAGCCCAAAATGTATGCTGCTACATGTCTTTGCTGAAAAAAATCCCAATACGTGTAAATTAATTGGTTTACGTGAAAGTTATAGCGTTTACAAATGGTGGTATAGATACTGGGATTTTTCATTTTTAAAATATTTTTACTAGTAATGGCAGCGATCAGCGATTTATAGCGGGACTGCAGTGGACATTCTGACACTGGGGGGGGGAACTAACTTGGTGTCACTGACATCCCCAGTGAAACCTATACAGTGATCAGTGCTAATAAAAAGCACTGTACTAATGGCACTGGGCAAGGCGTTAACGTGGGGCGATCAAAGGGTTAACTGTGTGCTGTGTGGTGTTTTACATCATGTTCTGTGTTAGTGCTTCACTGTAAGCACACTGCTTTGCATGGCTGCAGCCATACAAAGCAGTGTGCAGGAGCTGACAGGGGAGAGAACTGTTTTGTTTACAAACAGTTCTCCCCCTGTTGGAGACGCTCGGCAATCACTGGGTTCCGTCGAGTAGTCACCGGCAGGGACCCGGTGATTGACAGCTGAGGCCGAGAATGGCGGCGCGGGTAGGGCGCGCGCGTGCATATTAAAGTGGTTGTAAAGTCACTTTTTTATATTTTTATCTACAGGTAAACTTAAAAAAAAGATTACTTGTAGGTAAAATGAATATCTCTTAAACGTTCATCGGTGACAATACCGGTGCCTGCGTTCTGCTTCCATCTAGACTTGCTCTGCCTCTTGTCTTGATACAGTAGCTGCATTGAAGATTTGAAGGAGGAACAAGGACATTATAATGGGGGTTTGGGGCTGACTGATGCCAACAGAGGTGGATTATAATGTGAATGGGGACTCTGACATTATGATGTGGGCTCTGATGTGAAGGAAGGTTTCTAATATGATGTGGGGGACTTTCTTACCGCACCCCCAGAACAGACAGACTGGATCCAGCCCTGAATAGAAGCTGCTAGGCTTAATTTATACACATGGTTGTGCCACAGTTTTACCAACTGTTCAATTGCAAATTAACATGGCCAGCGGCCATGTTAGTATGCACTGGGGTTCATTTACTAAATCTGGAGAGTGCAAAATCTGGTGCAACTCTGCATGGAAACCAATCAGCTTCAAGGTTTTATTGCCAAAGTTGAATTTAACAAGCTGAAGTTAGACGCTGATTGGCTACCATTCTCATACCACCAGATTCTGAGTGCACCAGTTTCAGTAAATATCCCCCATTGTTATTTACTAACAATTACTTTGTAAACTGAAGTGTCTCTATTCCTTTAGCAAATCACCCCCATTGCTTTATATTCCCAGAGAATAATCAATTATAAGTCAGTGCTGGGGGTACTTTTTTGCTCCATTTTTCTGTATTACAGCTTTTAGTACACCAGCCCTCTACAGGCTTTATCCCATATCATAAAGTGCACTAGACAAGTGAGAACTGGAACCTAATTACTCATTCCGCAAACATATTGTTTTTCCCAGAATTATATATCTAGTACATATAATGTTTCTCTCACTGTGTAACAGATTTTATCTTGAAAACTGTCACAGTGCCTGTGGCTATTTGTTAACACACCCTGTGGGTCCTACTTTAGATATTTAAATGTTCCCCTTTATAAAAAAAACAGCTATGCTTTGTTTTATAAACTTCTCAGATGTATGTGAATAGGACAACAGTCTTAAAGAATACATACCCTCCAGCTGTAGGAATGCAACCAAGGCTATTTCAAACCAACAGTTGCAGCGTGAGTCTGGTATGTGTGAGCTACATGCTATTAATATGTATGTATGGTGAAGTTTAATGCAGTATTAAAATCAAAACAATATATTGCAGTTTACCAATCTTAAAGACCTGGTTCTCACTAATGTGGGATATGCAGCTAATCCTGTGCATTTCCCACACCACATTGCAATTGCACGGCATCCATGCGATCTGGTGCAGGAGTCAGAGTTAAATTAATGACACCCCAAAACAGATCGCAAAACGCAGTGTGCTAGAAATCAAAACACCCAGACGATGCAAATCAGGTGTGGAAAATGTATGGCTCAAACTGCACTGCACAGACATCGCATGTGATGTGCACAGGAATACGGTGCGATTGCGTCCCACACCACACAAGTGTGAACCTACAGTAGAGTAAAAGAGAAGTTGAGGTTTTTTTCTTTTAGAAATCATACTTACCTAGATAGATGCAGCATCTGACCGATGTCCCCCGCCAGCTCTAACACTGAGAAGTGAGCAATCAAAGATCAACTGTCAGTCACCGCTCTCTGCTCTGCAAGTGAAATCTGTGCGGTTTTACCATCAGTTTTTATGCACATATGGTGTGAATGAGGCCTTAGGGTTTAATACCGCTTTAATCATAAACATACATAAATAGCTAACACACTGCAAAGCAACCTTACCAGAAATGTATATTATTTTGGAGGTTCTTTATTATAGTCAGATTAACAAAAAAATAAGTATTTTTTTTCTTATATAACCTCTAAATCTATTTTAGTTTAGCATAGAATAGGGAATGGTTATGGCCTTTGTCAGGATTTTTTTGCTGGTGTGACCATTACCTTAGGGACAGAAAGTGATGGGAACTCGAAAATTGTACAGTGTTCACCTAAAAAAGGAAAGACTTGGAAATTTTCCAACAGGGACTCCAGTTCTGTTTACGTCAGTCTAAAGCTGACCATAGATAGATTAAAATTCGGCAGGTTCAGCAGGGACCAGCCAAACTTCGATCCATCTATGGCCATTGCCCACTACACTGAAGTCAATCTAATAATCGTTTTCTCTTGAACGGGAATGTTGGAAAATTCTTGTTCAATCAGCTCTGCAGCCAACAGGCTGCAGCACTGATCGGTGTGTTCTGACAGCAGAGGAGTCCTGCTGTCAGAATACAGAATACAATAGCACAACAGGGAAGATTTCTTCATCCACTTCGAATGTGTGGATGGGTTATTCATCCTGTTTTTTCATCAGCCAGCTGGCTGATAAAAAAAAAAAATGTGACCCATTTATGGCCAGTTTAAGAAGGGATTTCCCCTCACTTTGAAGAGATTTACATTCAGTTCCAATTTTGTTTCCAGAACAGGATGTAAAGAGAATCTTACCAATGGGATAGAAACAGAAAATCTAACAGTTTTTTTTTTAAAGTATAGGCAAACTTCTTTTTTTTTAGTCTTGGATAGAGTGGAGAGGATTTAGAATGCTTGTCAGTTTTTATTGCTGTCTATGTCCTCGTTAGGGAGATTCACCCTCTCTATTTGTCCTGTTTACCATTATTAGTGATGGACCAAACACCCCCATGTTTGGTTCGCAGTTGAACATTCAAACCTAATGAAAGTTCAACCGCGAACTTCAAACATAATGCAAGTCTATGGGACTCAAACTTTTACATTCAAAAGTGCCCATTGTGAAGGCTTATAGCCAAGTTATTGGTCATAAAAGGGGTATGGGGACTCTAGTACTGCCCTGAGAGGCATGAATCAGTGAAAAAAATAAGAAAAATTCCTTTAAATATCATGTCTGGGGGTGTCCCTGTAGAGTCCAGTCACACCTTTATGACTTTGAGATATTTTTGATTTCAAAGTAGGATGTCAGGTGTGACTTGCAAGACATCTGTGGCTTGCAAGACACCGATCTCTATGCAAGTTGCACCTGAAGTAGTGCATGCATTGCTTTCAAAATCGGTGCAATTCCAACCAAATCAAAATCACACCAATATGACCACTTTAATTGCGGACTATAGGGTGCTACTTGCCATGCTATTTGAAATACGCATGGCATTGCAAGTCGCACCCAGTATGACCAGGCTCTTAAACTACCTGCAAAGTTGCACATCTGAGCAATGTATAGAACCTGCTGCAGCAGGACTCACATTTTTTTTTAAAATGCCACTTTTATTAAAAAAAAAAAAAAAAAAACAGTGTGGGGTCACCCCCCCCCCTAATCCAAGGGAATGTTAAGAGTACAAAAAAATTTCCTGGTAGGACTTTTAAGGGGAACCCCACCCCCAAAAATGGGGGGGAAAGTGTGAGGTACCCCCTAAATTCCTACCAGACCCTTGATCCAAGCACAGGGCTGACAGGCCAGGAGAAGGGGGGTGAATGAGCACCCCCCCTTCTTAACCGTCCCAGGCCACATGCCCTCAACAAGGGAGGGGTGTGTGATGGGGACAAAGGGCCTCTTCCCTATAACCTTGTGCTGCGGTTGTGGGGCTCTGCTGGGGGGTGACGTATCGGAATATGGAAGCCCCCTTTAACAAGTGGGCATCAGATAATAGCCCCCATTTGTCAATGAGTATTCCCCTCCCCTGTCTCACCAAAAAAGTGTAAAATATTAATAAAAACACAAAAGTTTTTGACAAGTCCTTTATTAAACAAAAAAAAATTGTACTATCGTTTTAATCCATCGTCAATCATAACATCCAGCATTGTCACAACGACACGAACTCACCAAAATAACATAAAACCCAATGCCCACAGATCTGTCTGTACCCGCTGAGCACTCGCCGCTATATGGCATTTACCGATCAGATGTAAGCAATTTGGTGGAGCTAGCAGTGATGTCACCGCTAGCTCCGCCCAATTGTGTTGTGATTGGCCAAAGCATTGCACCTGACAAGGGTTTATCCCTTAATCACAACATTCCCTTAATCTTACAAAAAGAAAAAAAAAAACGTTTTACCTATAGTTCTAATTTAATAATTTTCTCCTCTATCCAGAATGAAACAAATGTTTTAGATACACTATGAGTAAATATAAAAAAATTCTAAATTTTTTTTTTTTGTTTGTGAATCAGCTCACTTTAAAAATGACCTCTAATGAATGTGAAATAAAAAAAGGTATTATATGATGTAAACAGAGGATGGCTCCAATTAGTTTCCTCATTCTGAGGGGCAAATAAGAACTGTTTACTTGAATATCCTGTTGATGGTCTTGGAGTATATTGGTTACAAGATTCCATTTCCTATTAAGAGTGGAGGAGTGGAGCCATTCTCTGTTTACATCATATAGTGCCTCTTATGACCTCACATTTATTGGAGGTCATTTTCAAGGTGAGTAGATTCACAAACATGAGGTGGTGTTGGATATGGTGTAGTTCACATATTTTTGAATACTGATAGTCTCTGATGGATTTTCTGCAGGTATAATTTTGCTAAAATGTAAAGGATGGTGCTTGCACAATTTTATCACTATCATTATTTGTGTTAATTTTGTATATATACGGATAGATAGATAGATAGATAGATAGATAGATGAACATTTTTAGATATGGTTTGAAAAAATTATTTTCACATTCGTATTGTTTATTGAGATATTTATCAATCAGCAAACTATTTTTTGTTTATATATTGTAAAAAGCAAATCCCTCAATTCTTTACTGTTTTCATATCCTGTCACACTGAATGCTGCCCAAACAAAATAATTTACACCTTACTGATATAAGTTTAGTAAGTCTGATTGG